GAACTTGGTAAGGGATTCCCTGTTTGAAAACTTGTTGGGGTGGGGGGATTTGGGGGGAAATTGATGTGGGTGCAAACAACATTGAAAATACCGCGACGATTCAAAATGGGGAAACGTGTATAAAAATGTGTCATCGGCGTTTGTGAATGAAGTATTTGTTACAAATTCCCCCGGCCCTGATTTAAAATGGGAAACACCAAGTCTATTTCGATGTGATGTTTTGCTGATTTCGAGTTAATATGTCAGAGAGCCGACGGAACTCGGTCAGCTAATAACTGAGAACAGACTACTCTTCGCACAAGACACAGATTTAACAATCCATGAAAACGTTGATTTTGAGACATCTACCACAGACTGTTTCTATAGTATAAATTACTCACCATTTTTCTCAAAATTTCGTTTAGTTACATATCATATGTAGTTATAAAATGTTTATAGTTGATAACATCAATAATTATAATAATAACATTCTTAAAACAAAAAACTGTTGTAAATGTTCTACCCTAATTTATTAGGTGGAAATCTAGTATTTTCTATCCATCTTTAGATAGGCACGATGTAAAATGAAACGAAAGGCGGACTATGAAGTGTCAGATTTCTTGGATTTCAATTTTACCGCGCTCAAAACCTCATTTGTCCATGTCGAAATTAGAGAGATTACATTGTTTAATTTTTGAGCTGTTCACAATTGCCCATATTAGGGCATCGCGTTACCGTGACGTCATTGCTACTCATTACATCAACAGACGACAGAGTGCTACTCTGTTGCGTTCCATCGGCCCTGAATCTACATGAAATGTTGACGTTACAATCAGCGGGGAAACATCCTACAACTGTGTCCCGGTGCTGCGTGATTTGTAGCGCAAAAATAAAAGCATATTTTATACAAAGGAATGAAAACAAAGCAAGTACTAGTATGTATTAACTTTAAACACTCGTTTGCGTGTCGTCTTCGCCCCATGGTTTGGCGTTGTTCGCATATTCCCGGGCCAAGGTCTACGTACCAGCCGGGCGCCAGTCAGGATTTTGGGCCTATACAAGACAAAATAGGCGATATAACCACGGTATAAGCGTATAAAGATGTATAGTCGGCAAAACGTAGTTAAAAGACATTTGAATTTTGAGTAATTTGGCTAAAAATCAAATCTGAAATATGCGGCGCCCTGCGCGAGTTATACTGATCGAACGACTCGGAATTCACTACAATAAACCCCATCATGCATTGCTGTTCGAATTTTGCTTCGGGTGAGCGCTAAACACAACTAACTCGTCTAATACCCGATGCAGTGGGAACATGAGTAAGATAGTGGCAGTTCTATTGTGTTTTTTAATGTAATTTCTATCTTCTTCCAACACGAAATTTTGCGTCAACGCCAGAGATTTCAGAAAGTATTATATAACAACAATAAAATTGCCACTGTTT